AAAAAAAATAACGCTATAACACGCAATATGAGCAAGGGAGAACGAATCTACTATCTCTCACTACAAGCACAGGGAAAAAGAAATGAACACGGCCAACAATGCTGATATTCAATGTGAGTCGCACACAGTGACACGAGGTATCAGCTATAAAGAAACTTCACTTACAAACGTTAACAACATGTGAAAGTTACTCGAGAAATAACTTCTTACACTGCACGAATTACTGTCAACTAGGATGGGATCACAGTCTGGAACACAAGGGACAACAACACTCAAGTGAGAAAACTAGCCACAGAAACGTCTTTTCTGCAACGGCTTGTGGCATCAGCAAGAGATGGCATAACTCGTTGCAAGTAAAGTTCTTCTCAAAGCGTCCCCTGGGAAGGAATGAGTACTTGAACAAGTCGCCATCGCAAGGATAGTAGTCTCAGCACTATCCTGCGTGCACGATATTGTGGCTGGAGTCCAGACAGGAGTGACAGTATTACTAGTGCCTGACCGCTCGGCTACGTTAATAATTAATTCACGGATCTATAGGAACTTAATCTGAACTTCACATTTCACAGCACTTTAACAAATCTCAGATACAAGCTGTGAGAACAAACACATTGCTCAGGGGCTAGGTATTGTATTCCAGACAGTAAGGGAATACTGGTACTGTTGACTGATTCATATTGACTTTGACTGGCATGATACACTAAGTGAACATTCAAAAGTGACTGGGACATGTTCTCAGGGAACTTACTCAAGGGCACAAGGCAAGAAAAATAGAAAGAATAAAAGAAAATGTAACTGAGGGACACACAACACAGTGAACTTAAATGGAAAGAAAATGCTTAACTATTCTGCATAAGTAATTAAAAATTGACAGGACACACAGTAAGCAAGAAAACTCACACAAGAAAATACTCAACTGAATAAACAACACTTTGAAAATCAAGATAACTTGTACTTTACTCAAATCTAATTTACTCAAATTTTACTTTAAATTGGATTAATGGCACAGTGAGTTGTCTTTACTCTCAATGCAATAGGGAAATACAACAATAAAATGATGAATCAATCAAAAATGTTAAAATGGACTCAATAAATCTTGTACACAATTAAGAAAAACTGAGCAAAACAATTCACTAAAAAGAGAATAAAATGGCACACAAAGAATAAAATGTTATGCACAGAACAGAGCATAAGAAACTGCACCGAAATAAACTGTAGCAATATTGCAAATAACAATTGCTGATCAAGAGTACTGCACAACACTACATAAAATTTCTGAAAGAAAAAATTTAATGACAACACAATGCTCGCACAAGAATTATTGCAAAATGTGTCAATTAGTGCAATAATAAAAAAAATATTACACACAAGAAAATACAGTTTACAAGATTAATAAAAATATAGCAAGGAATGAACTGAGGGAACACTTTAACTCTTAACTGCAACTTAAGCAACAGTTAACAAGCAAAAGAACAATTTACTTTAAAAGTAGAACTTAAAAATTGCACTAAGAGTGAATTTGTTCAATGAAACATGAAAAATAATAGGTGCAAAAACACAGAACGAAAGGTTTGAACACTTACAGTGATGCAGAACACAACACATCAACATAAACACAATACTAGAATATTCTTGCAATGAAACTTGGTGTGAAAAAATTTTGAAAAATTAATTTTCTTGCTTGCACAAAACAATGGCACTATTGTCTGTGGAAATAAGACAAATTAGACACTGGCTAGAATGAAAGAATATGAACACAAAAAATGTTCAGCACACAGAGAAAAATGAATTTAACTGGCAAGACTACACAAATGCTGGGATAAAAATGTAACAGACAACACTGAGTTGTGATGCAGAATACAAGGTAATAAATTACTGAATTACTTCACTGGAATACTGAAAACACTAGGTGATTCTGAAGTGTAAACACAAGTTCTATACTGCTTATATGTTGCACACACAACAAAGGTACTTACTTCAAGTGTATAAAAAAAGGAAACACAACACAACAGACATAAGATAATGCACAGAAATTAACACTGAATTAAGAAGAGAAAAAAAAATATATTGCAAAGAGGATATAATAAACACTGAGTTTAATCGAGAGTCACTGAATGTCACTAAGAAAAATCACTGGAAACAAAAAGAAATGTCTCAACACTCGCAAATGTCTCTATGAAAAATATTATCACTGTAGCGACTTGGTGAAGAATTAGGTAGATGGTGGAAAGTTGGAGGATTGTTCATGTCGTCTTGCGGCTGGCTGCTGTCCACACGTGATCCTAGAATTTGCGCTTACATCGACGATAGACTTCACACAGGAGGCTTTTAACGGTAGTGCGAAACACACTCTAGCTCTTGACCCCCTATGTGGTCCTTAAAATATTGTGCTGGAACCCGTAGTAATGTACCAAAACACAGTGGTAGTGGTTGGGTGAGTGGGTGAATGGCTGAGTGAGGCAGCTGGGGCCGGTGTCGAGTGGTTGGGTGGGTGGGCTGAAACAGGGCTAAGGCCGAGACCACGTGGTAACTGTGCCTATGGGATGAACGGCGTAAGCCTTACTGAGGACACCCTCACTGGCACGAAGATATTTCTAAGCCGACTGGCTTAAAGACAAACCCACAAAATACCACAACACCACAGGGATGAAAAAAAATCACTCAGAATGGCTTGGAGCTTGAAGCACAAAGCGATGAAAAGACTGTACTCACGTGGCTTGCTTGAGTACTGGGGTAAGACACCTGGGTTAGTTGCTGTCTGGCTTATCTTAACTCTTCACACAGAATAGCTTGATAACTTCTAACGATGAGCACAGCAGGGGTGGAAAGCTGGCTGGCAGGCAAGGCTGGATGGAGTAGGCTAGGCCGACTGACTCCCTCACCACAGACTGTCTTACTGGCTTATTTTGCAAACTCAGGTCAACCCCTCGGGAGTGATGCAAATAAGCAGATAAACACTAATACAAAGAGACTGACCGGTGAATAATGTAGTGGCTGGTAGATGCTTGATTGAGGTAGCTGGCTTGGCTAGGTCGGCCTACTGGCGACACAAAATGGCCGTCTTGCTGGTCGAAAGAAATCTCTGTACATCGGCGTAATTATCAATTTTACGCCCACACCACTGCCACCAAATTGTCATATGGGGTTCGGTAGGAGATTGATGGATAAGGTAAACTCATTTGTTGGATGGTAACGCTATATTGTCAGACTGTGGTAATGGGAGATGGAGCCCAGCCTGCTGTGTCCTGCCTCCTACTATGCCTATGCGTCGACTGAGGCCGAGGTAGCTAGTCTCACTCACTCGCTGCATCCTGTGACGTCATACAGTCACAGGCCAAGGGATCTTCTATATAAACACATGGATGGTACTGATACGCTATACAACACATGTAAGGGGATCAGCAACTATGCTGACACAGAGAGTCCCAGTAACACCACCAGTGAGTCCCAGTAACACCACCAGTGAGTCCCAATAACACCACCAGAGAGTCCGAGTAACACCACCAGTGAGTCCCAGTAACACCACCAGTGAGTCCCAGTAACACCACCAGTGAGTCCCAACAACACTACCAGTGAGTCCCAGTAACACCACCAGTGAGTCCCAGTAACACCACCAATGAGTCCCAATAACACCACCAGTGAGCCCCAGTAACACCACCAGTGAGCCCCAGTAACACCACCAGTGAGCCCCAGTAACATCACCAGTGAGTCCCAGTAACACCACCAGTGAGTCCCAGTAACACCACCAGTGAGCCCCAGTAACACCACAAGTGAACCCCAGTAACACCACCAGTGAGTCCCAGTAACACCACCAGTGAGCCTCAGTAACACCACCAGTGAGTCTCAGTAACACCACCAGTGAGTCCCAGTAACACCACCAGTGAGCCCCAGTAACATCACCAGTGAGTCCCAGTAACACCACCAGTGAGTCCCAGTAACACCACCAGTGAGCCCCAGTAACACCGCCAGTGAGCCCCAGTAACACCATCAGTGAGTCCCAGTAACACCACCAGTGATCCTCAGTAACACCATCAGTGAGTCCAAGTAACACCACCAGTGAATCTAGTAACACCACCAGTGAGTCCCAGTAACACCACCAGTGAGTCCCAGTAACACCACCAGAGAGTCCCAGTAACACCACCAGTGAGCCCCAGTAACACCACCAGTGAGCCCCAGTAACACCACAGTGAGTCCCAGTAACACCCAGTGAGCCCCAGTAACACCACCAGTGAGCCCCAGTAACATCACAAGTGAGCCCCAGTAACACCATCAGTGAGTCCCAGTAACACCACCAGTGATCCTCAGTAACACCATCAGTGAGTCCAAGTAACACCACCAGTGAGTCCCAGTAACACCACCAGTGAGCCCCAGTAACACCACCAGTGAGTCCCAGTAACACCACCAGTGAGCCCCAGTAACACCACCAGTGAGCCCCAGTAACACCACCAGTGAGCCCCAGTAACACCACCAGTGAGCCCCAGTAACACCCCAGTGACCCCAGTAACACACCAGTGAGCCCAGTAACACCCAAGTGAGCCCCAGTAACTCCATACAGTGAGCCCAGTAACCCCCAGTGATCCCAGTAACCCACAGTGGCCCAAGTAACACATCAGTGAGTCCCAATATCACCACCAGTGAGGCCCAGTAACACCACCAGTGAGTCCCAGTACCACCACCAGTGAGCCCCAGAACACACCAGTGAGCCCCAGTAACACCACCAGTGAGCCCCAGTAACACCACCAGTGAGTCCCAGTAACACCACCAGTGAGTCTCAGTAACACCACCAGTGAGCCCCAGTAACCTTACCAATGAGCCCCAGTAACACCACCAGAGCCCCCGAGTAACACCACCAGAGAGCCCGAGTAACACCACCAGTGAGCCCCAGGAACCTCACCAGTGAGCCCCAATAACCTCACCAGTGAGCCCCTGTAACCCCACTACTTATCCCCAGTAAACCCACCAGCTACCCCCAGTAACCTCCTGATACTGTCTCACCACGACAGATACAGTGGGTGGATGACAGTCGTCGTGAGAGCATCAAGACAGGTGTGGTGCTGCTGACAGAGATCATGGCAGACGGCAAGAGAGTTACTGTCCACTCACGTCTCTCCTTCACTCCACGACGCTCACACCACAACTCTTCCCTCACCTGTCTCACCTCTCACCAGGCCCTCACCTCTCCCCTCTCCAGGTAGGTTACCCCTCTCTCACCTGTTTCATATATTACCAGGCCCTCACCTCTTCCCTCACCAGGTAGGTTACTCCTTCTATCACCTCTTCCCTCACCAGGAAAGTTACTCCTATCACCTCTTCCCTCACCAGGTGGGTCACTCTTTCTATCACCTCTCACCAGACCCTCACCTCTCCCCTCACCAGGTACGTCACTCCTTCTCTCACCTCACACCAGGCCCTCACCTCCCCATCATCAGGCACATCACCCCTTCTCTCGCCTGTCTCACTTCCCACAAGGCGCCTCACGCCTCCTCTCCTCTCACCAGGTAAGTCACCCCCCCCTCTCTCACCTCTCACGAGGACATCACTTCTCCCTCCCTCACCAGGAAGGTCATCCCTCTCTAACCTCTCACTAGGCCCTCACCTCTCCCCTCACCAGGTAGATAAACCTCCCCCACCTTTCCCCATCACCAGGTAAGTCAATTTCCTCCCTCACCTCTCACAAGGCCCTTCTTCTCCCCTCACCAGGTACGTCACTCCTACAACATCTGTATCGCCTCTCACCAGACCCTCTCCTCTCCCCTCACCAGGTAGGTCACCCCCTCTCTCGCCTCTCACTAGGCCTTCACCTCTCCCCTCACCAGGTACCTCACTCCAACACCTGTCTCACCTCTCACCTGGAAGGTCACATTCTCTCTCAAGCAAATGAAGCTCCCCTCACCAGGTAGATAACATTCTGTCAGGTAGGTCATATTTCCCTCACCACCAAGGTCACATTCTTTCTCAGATGAGTTTCCCTCAGCGGGAAGGTCATATTCTGGATGGTCACTTTCCTTCACACGAAAGTCACATTCTGGTTGATCATTTTCCCTCACTAAGTCACATTCTCTGCTTGATCACTTTAATTCACCAAGGTCACATTCTCTTGTTGGTCACTTTCCTTCACCAGGTAGGTCACATTCTCTGGTAGGTCACTTTCCTTCACTAGGAATGTCACACTCTCTGGTAGATCACTTTCCTTCACCAGGAAGGTCACATTCTTTATGGCAGGTCACTTTCCCCCCTCACTTGTGTAACTTGTATCAGTGTCACGGTGATCGACTCGGTCTTCTACACTTATAAATGTCACTGAACATATATATCTGGCACTTACATTTGTTATTAATAAAGTTCAGTCTTGGTAAGACATAAATGTTCTTGTTAATATTGTGTCTGTAAACTTAGCCTGACTTACCGATACTTTAAATTTATTATGCCGAGTTAAATCACCGTACGTTACATTTAGCCAAAGTTGGTCGAGGTTTTGCTAAATACGGTGCAAGATATTATTAACCTTGTTGCTGACTTCCGGATGTGCCCTTATGTACCAGTTTTCCACCTCTTGAAGATCCTGCCCCTGTTTGCTGGTTATTACTCAGGATTGTTGGTCTCTAGTTCCTGATCATTACGGCGCAATGAATCTTGTTCTTCCTCCAATAATTCTGTGGTTATCTTTCGATTCTATTATCCTCACCTCGTTTGCCCTATCCTTTCTTTTTATGAGGAATATTTTGTCTCACCTTTCTCATTGCCATTCGTTTCATATCTGTTTACTGATCAAAACAAAGTCATTCTTACTTGACTAAGTCATTCACTGTTACTAAGTCCATTTCAAAAATAAAGTCTCCTATCATTTCTTCTGATGATACACCGTTAATAAAACATATCACTCATTTCCTCAACTTTTTCATTTCCTTCAGATTCCTTGATGCCCAGAAAGTCTAAAAATTATGACAAATTTCTTTCTGTTAGATGAGTGACAGTGTGTAGCAACAGTTGACTTACAACAATGTACGTTGCTGTCACACGTATTATTTGTAACTCTGTTTTAACTGTTTTCATGTTACATCCAAGTGGAGTCAAACATGACTCAGAAAAAAGGATTATTGAAGGGATCAGACAATAAAAAAATGTGTACTGCTAATGCATGTAGTGATGTATTAGTAACATGCAGGTGTTGGGTGTCAGCTAGATAAGGAATGTACAGGTGTTGTGTGTCAGCCAGGTAAGGAATGTACAGGTGTTTTGTGCCAGCTAGATAAGGAATGTACAGGTGTTGTGTATCAGCCAGATAAGGAATGTACAGGTGTTGTGTGTCAACCAGATGAGGAATGTACAGGTGTTGTGTGTCAGCCAGGTAAGGAATGTACAGGTGTTGTGTGTCAGCCAGGTAAGGAATGAAGAGGTATTGTGTGTCAGCCAGAAAAGGAATGTACAGGTGTTGTGTGTCAGCCAAGTAAGGAATGTACAGGTGTTGTGTGTCAGCCAGGTAAGGAATGAAGAGGTGTTGTGTGTCAGCCAGAAAAGGAACGTACAGATGCTGTGTGTCAGCCAGATAAGAAATGTACAGGTGTTGTGTGTCAGCCAGATAAGGAAAGTACAGGTGTTGTGTATCAGCCATATAAGAAATGCACAGGTGTTGTGCATCAGCCAGATAAGGAAAGCACAGGTGTTTTGTGTCAGCCAGATAAGCCATGTACAGGTGTTGTGTGTCACCCAGGTAACGAATGTACAGGTGTTGTGTGTCAGCCAGATAAGGAAAGTACAGGTGTTGTGTGTCAGCCAGATAAGGAAAGTACAGGTGTTGTGTGTCAGCCAGATAAGGAAAGTACAGGTGTTGTGTGTCAGCCAGAAAAGGAATTTACAGGTATTGTGTATCAGCCAGATATGGAAAGTACAAGTGTTGTGTGTCAGCCAGATAAGGAAAGTACAGGTGTTGTGTGTCAGCCAGATAAGGAAAGTACAGGTGCTGTGTGTCAGCCAGATAAGGAAAGTACAAGTGTTGTGTGTCAGCCAGATAAGGAAAGTACAAGTGTTGTGTGTCAGCCAGATAAGGAAAGTACAAGTGTTGTGTGTCAGCCAGATATGGAAAGTACAAGTGTTGTGTGTCAGCCAGATAAGGAAAGTACAAGTGTTGTGTGTCAGCCAGATATGGAAAGTACAGGTGTTGTGTGTCAGCCAGATAAGGAAAGTACAGGTGCTGTGTGTCAGCCAGATAAGGAATGTACAGGTGTTGTGTGTCAGCCAGATAAGGAATGTACAGGTGTTGTGTGTCAGCCAGATAAGGAATGTACTGGTGTTGCGTGTCAGCTGGATACGGAATGTACAGGTGTTGTGTATCAGCCAGAAAAGGAATGTACAGGTGTTGTGTATCAGCCAGATAAGGAATGTACAGGTGTTGTGTGTCACTCAGATAATGAATGTACAGGTGTTGTGTGTCACTCAGATAAGGAATGTACAGGTGTTGTGTGTCACTCAGATAAGGAATGTACAGGTGTTGTGTGTCACTCAGATAAGGAATGTACAGGTGTTGTGTGTCACTCAGATAAGGAATGTACAGGTGTTGTGTGTCACTCAGATAAGGAATGTACAGGTGTTGTGTGTCTACCAGATTTTATTTATTCATTATTTATTTATTTATTTATTTATTTATTTATTTATTTATTTATTTATTTATTTATTTGAACATGATACAGTGAAGTACAAAGGAATACAGTTATTACAGTGCAACATGTCAAAGCCCCTTGTATGCAGAGCATTATGGGCAGGCTTAAAATTAACTTAAGATTAACTAAGCAATGATATATTCAGTGGTAAAAACATTATTGTAAACAGATAACAATTTAGCACAAATGAGTATTACAAAGACAGGTCATATGGTTGTTTACTGTGTTGCTGTGTGATCAGTAGAATGGAGTATTCTGTTAGGTAATGTAATTAAAAAATAAGAAAGTTTGATTGGGTCACAGGTTAGATATTTATGAGATACAATAATGAGAAACATTTATGAGATACAATTTATGAGATACAATTATTCAGCATTTATTTAGTTGTGGGTGAGTAAATGATTTTTGAGAAGAGACTTGAATTTATAAACAGTGTTTCTTTTATATTCACAGGAAATTAATTCCAGATTTTAGAGCCTTTTATGTGCATTGAGTTTTTGCATTGCGTGAGATGGACACGAGGAACATCGTGGGTTCTGTTGAGGTTGGTAGGGAGACGTCTGAGGGGAGGGTTTATATCCGAGTTAAGTGTTCTATGTATGTAGTAGGTACGGTGAGTTGGTTTAGAGTTTTGAATATTGGTGGAGTGTGCTGCCTGTAGTGGGGATTTGTTATCATTCTGACTGCCTCCTTTTGTTGGGTAATTAATGGTCTGAGATGGTTTATTGTTGTTGAGCCCCATGCACAAATTCCATAGGTGAGATAGGGGTAAATAAGTGAGTGATATAGGGCCAGGAGGGCTGACTGTGGAACATAGTACCGTATCTTCGATAGTATGCCTACAGTCTTGGAAATTTTTTTGGAAATTTGTTGTATATGTGTTTGAAATTTGAGTCTATTAACAAGGTGGATTCCTAAGAATTTTCCCTCTGTGAGTTTTGTGATAGGTGATCCATTTATCATTATGTTAAGAGGGACGTCTAGGTCTGTTACCAAGCTGAATGAAGTAGGATTTGTCAATGTTTAGAGTAAGTTTGTTAGTACTCATCCAGGTAGATATTTTCTGTAATTCGGTATTTACAGTATTGGCTAGCGTGACTGGGCTCGGGTGAGAGAAGACGTATGTAGTGTCATCTGCAAATAGTGTGGGTTTGAGTAGTTGTGATGCATTTGGTAGGTCATTTATGTATATGAGAAAGAGAAGAGGGCCAAGGACACTTTCCTGTGGGACACCAACTGTAATTGGCTGTGCTGAAGAGTTTGCCCCGTTTGTGTACACCTATTGGCTTCTCTTGATGAGGTAAGACTTTAGTTAGTTGAGGGAGTGCCCTCTAATACCATAGTGCGACAATTTTATATGGAGCAAGTCATGGTCAACTGTATCAAAAGCTTTACTTAAGTCTATGAAGATCCCCAGTGGGACTTCTTTTTTCTCTGTTGCAGTGTATATGTGTTCTAGCATGTGTATAATAGCATCATTAGTATTTTTATTAGGCCTGAACCCAAAATGACAGGGGTCGAGTATGTTGTGGGAGATGAGGTAGGAATAGATTCGCTTATGAATTAATTTTTCGAAGATTTTAGAGAGGGTGTAAGTTGGATATTGGCCTATAGTTATTCAAGTCTGTTTGGTTTCCTCCTTTATAGATCGGGGTGACCCTTGCTATTTTGAGAATTGTAGGGAAGGAAGATGATTCTATGGATTTGTTAGTGTTGCAATGATTGGTGATAGTACTTGTGACGCTTTTTTGTATATAAAGGGTGGTAAGGTATTTAAATCTCCTGTCTTGTTTTTTAGTGTGCTGATAATAAGGGAGACTTCAGTAGGGTTAGTCGGAGCTAGGAACAGTGTGTTCGGGTAGTTGTCAGTGAGGTAGTCATTGGGTGGGGTATCTGAGCTTGGGATTTTATTAGCAAGGTTTTTTTCCTATAGTGGAGAAGAAATTATTGAGTCTTCTGTTTCAGTTGGTGGGAGTTGGGGTTCATCCGGTTTTGTTAATTCAATTTCGCTATTTCGTGATATCTTTTTTGTTCCTAGAATTTTTGATAGGGTTTTTCACGTCTTTTTTTATATCACCTCGTAAGTTGGATAATCTGTTCTCATAATACAGTTTTTTAGCCCTTCTTATCAGGCTGATTAGGATTGACGAGTAACGTTTTGCTTGGTCTCTGGTTATGTGACCCATTCTGTACTGTTTTTCGTATAGGTGCTTTGTATTTATTTAATTGAGGATGCTGGGTGTTAGCCAGGGACTGTTCAGTCTCTTAGCTGTCATCTGTTTAGTTTTTTGGGGGCAGTGCTTGTTATAAAGGTAATGGGTCTTTTTTAGAAAATTATTAATACATTCGTCAATATCTGTATAGATTTCTAGCTCAGTGTGCCAGTCAATGTTTGTTACTGCTGTTGTGAAGTTATTAATGGCTGCCTCATTGTGAAGTCTGAAAGTGACTTTAGTAGTGTCTTGGGGTAATTTGCCAAGGTTTGTGATGAGGAAGGTAGGGTAGTGATCTGTGGTATTATCTGTGATTATGCCTGATTTTAAAGGGGATATGGTGTTGGTCCAGATGTGGTCTAGTAGGGAAACACTAGTCTCTGTAACTCTTGCAGGTTTTGTTACTGCTTGTAGCAACATGCAGTTATTCATAGAGTTTGTGAATTCAGTAACGTGTGGGTTCTGGTCTTGCAGGAGATTTATATTGAAGTCACCTGAGAGTAGTAAGTGATCTTTGTTCATGCGTGCATCAGTTATCATACTTCCTAGGTTTTCACTAAAACGGCTAATGTTTGACTGTGGTACTCTGTAGATGTTTAGCACTGTGAGAGGTTTTTGTAGGTATTTGGATTTGAATTTAGCTATTATATATTCCCCATGTTCATCCCTTGTGCAAGTATTAGTGATACATTCTAGTTGGTCTGAGTAGTATATAGCAGTGCCACCCCCTTGTTGGTCTGGCCTACAGTTGTGTATGGCTGTGTAACCAGGAATGGCATAGACATCTGTAGTATCAGGCTTTAGCCAGGTTTCGGTGAGAGTAATGATGGATATACTGTACTGGCATGCAGGGAATTTAGTAATGCTATGAGGTCATCGTAATGTTTACTTAAAGATCCGATATTGTAGTTAAAGACAGTTATGTTTTTGTTGGCTCTGAGAAGTGCCTTTGATTGTTCTGCTGTGTAGTAATTATAGTTACTGTTTGATTCATTTAAGTCATTCAATAAGAGGTTGGTATCAGGATCAATGCTTGTAATCATAAGATTTATAGTGAATCTATAGTTAGAATTAAGTATAAGACAAAGTAAATATTCTAAAACTATAAAATAGCACCTGAGTTATTTTAACAAATGTAAAAATTTGAGCTAAGGTAGTTCTTTAAAGCTAAAATAAAGGAGACAATATAAAACAGACTAAAAAAAAAATTGTGGTGAACAAATAGAGTGGTAATCAAATAAATGAGCTAGGGAATATAATGACAAAATAGTGAACTTATTACACTTTATCACCTGAAAATAGCACCTTGATTATTTTAACAATTGTGAATATATGAACTAAGGTTGTTATATAAAGCTAAAATAAAGGAGAAAATATATAGGGACTAAATTAAATAATGTTAAATTGGCAGATAGTAACTAAAATATGATATTGATTTGGGAGTAAGATCTGGTTTGTTATATATAATAAGCTGAGCAATTTATTGTACTATAAAAAGTAAAAAATAATATGAGGTAGTTGGTAGTAGCAGCAAAAGATAGTTTTGGACCTTGAACAATAATGTAATTGAAATATACACTAATTGCACACACAATATAGTCACTAAGATATGAAAATAATCTGAGAGAAGGATTTGCCTTATAGCATAAAGTTTGAGCAATTAATATCACTATAGGAATATTATTTGAGGTAGTTGAAACTAGCTAGTGAGGGAAGGTTCAAGGTATTGCACAGTAGTGTAGTAGGAACATAAACTAGTTAGTTATTTGTTGTTTGGGAGAAAAGGGAAAATTAGGTATGATTATAAAAGAATTTTAACAGTGCTTAAGTAGGAAAGAAAAAGGTAATACAGATATTATTAAAGAGTAAGTATCCTATTAACAAAAAATAAATTGTGAATTGGGAGTCTGGGAAGATAACACAAATTGGGTCACACAAAGAACTGTGTGGGACACCTGGGATAGTGAGGTAGTAAATACTATCTAAGAGGTGATAGTACAGGGATTAGTTCAATAATGACATAATAACATAAACTAACGTAGTAAGGATTTGGTCACTAATATCAGTCAGACTCTGTAATGTTTGCATCATGAAGGAAGTTTGCTAGTTCATTTTCATTTGTAATATAGCACACTCGGCCTACATTTGTTTTTCTTACTAGAATTTGTCCATCAAATACAAAGCACTGGTGAATTTTATCATTATTCTCAGGTTTTAGCTTTCTCACTCTGTACACGAGGTTCTGTCGTTTTTTTGTGAGACTCATTTATGTATATATCTTTTGTTGCTTTGATAGATGAAATTATTAGATCTTTTTTCCTGTCTTGTGTGTGAAATCTGAGCATAACACTTTTTCTACTTTGGTTCCCTAGTAACCGTGATTCTATTATTTCCGACACTGGCACATTAACATGTAGGTGGTCACGTATGATCTGGAGAGTTGTATCTTTGCAGTTTGAATGGTTTAATTCGCTGGGAAAGAGTGGAGTGTTAATTACTACTGCATCAGATAACTTGCCTTGCCCTGCCTTGTCATCTTGGTTAGGAAAATAATTGTTCAGTTGGGTATCCATGTTTGTTTTCCAGTCCTTGACGGCATTATCAATCTTCGTGTTTAAGGAAGTTATTTGGTCTGTGTGACTGGCTATGACTGATTGGAAGGTCTTGCCAAAATCAGTCATGCCAGTTGATGTTAACTGTTGTTCAAGGTTGTTGATCTTATTCTCAAGGTGAAGTAACTTAGATTCATGGTTTGTTATTGTTGCACGGAGAGACATATTTTCAGCACGAAGATTCAAGTTATCTGCCGTTAGGGTGGTGATGTAGTGCTTTAGAGTGTCAGGATCATTAATCATACCTGGGAGCATATCAGCTGGGTTAAATCCTATGAAGGCAGTAGAGGTAGAGCGGGTCAGTCACAGTTGGTGTTGTTGTGGAATCGCCTGGGTTGGTGGTTGAGTCGGCCATGTTTGTTGTTGATGCGTCGCTCTGGGTTGTAAGGGAGGTGGATGGCGCACCGGCGTCCTGCTGGGTCGTCTTATGGAACAGTTGATTTCTAGGTGCTACCTTGCTGTTCTTAGTGCTGTTTCTTCTAGTAGTTGGTCTCATAGTAGTACAGGAGTTGCTGTAGTTAGATGAAGAAACTAAGATAGTTAAGAGCTTGGAGTAGGTAGTCGTCTGGCAGCGGGGTTGTGCTTGGAGTTTGAGGGGCAGTCTTAGCTTCACTCTGTAATTTTTCGGTTTGTAGGTATCACTGTTGATTATCTTGGGTCATACTGGGTTCTACGTACGTTAGTGCAGTTATGATTGCAATTAGGTCATCAATGAAGCGTTGGTGGGCTCTGCAGGTGAGAAAAATAACAGAGCTTGCTGCCTCTGCTGCCGCTGCCGCTGCTGCCGCATTTGAATGAGGAATGTACAGGTGTTGTGTGTCACTCAGATAAGGAATGTACAGGTGTTGTGTGTCACTCAGATAATGTACAGGTGCTGTGTGTCACTCAGATAAGGAATGTACAGGTGTTGTGTGTCACTCAGATAATGTACAGGTGCTGTGAGTCACTCAGATAAGGAATGTACAGGTGTTGTGTGTCACTCAGATAAGGAATGAACAGGTGTTGTGTGTCACTCATATAAGGAATGTACAGGTGTTGTGTGTCACTCAGATAAGGAATGTACAGGTGTTGTGTGTCACTCAGATAAGGAATGTACAGGTGTTGTGTGTCGCTCAGATAAGGAATGTACAGGTGTTGTGTGTCACTTAGATAAGGAATGTACAGGTGTTGTGTGTCGCTCAGATAAGGAATGTACAGGTGTTGTGTGTCACTCAGATAAGGAATGTACAGGTGTTGTGTGTCACTCAGATAAGGAATGCTTAGAATGACTTAAACATCTCAAAGACACTTGCAGTATTACCTGTGTTGTGACTTTCTACACGCTTATAAATTAATATTATAAATATTCATGATAGTGATAACTCACATTTCACCCCTATTTCCCACTCACTTCTCTTCCTTTCCCATCTCCCCTCTCACCTCTCCTGTTTCCATCGCACCAATTCTCAACCTCACACTGTTCTTACTTCACACACTGCCTATTAACACTTACCTATCACTCACACACTTTCTTACCCCCACACACTCCCACCCCACACCTCTTAGCATCACAACACTACACCCCCACACCTTTAAAACATCACACACTACACCCCCACACCTCTTAACATCACACACTACACCGCCACACCTCTTAAATCACACACTAACACCCCACACCCCTTAACATCACAACACTACCACCCCCACACCTCTTAACATCACAAAACCACACCCCACAACTCTTAACATCACACACTACACCCCTACACCTCTCAACATAAACACTGCACCCCCACACCTCTTAACATCACAAAACTGCATCCCCACACCTCTAACATCCACACTGCAGCCCCTCACCTCTTAACTCACACACTAAACCCAACACCTCTTAACATCACACACTGCAACCCACACCTTTTAAACATCACAAACTGCACCCTCACAACCTTTAACATCACACAACTGCACCCTACACCTCTTAATATCACACAGTACACCCCACACCTCTTTAACAGCACACACTGCACCCCGACAGCTTTTCACCCCACACACTACGCCCAGACTCCTCTTAAAAATTATACACTACACCCCCCCCACCTCTTAACATCACACACTACACCCCAACACCTCTTAACATCACACACTGCATCCCACACCTCTTAACATCACACACTACCCCCACACCTCTTAACCTTCACACACTGCACCCCTACACCTCTTAACATCACACACTGCACCCCTACACTCTTAATATCAACAGTACACCACCACCCCTCTTAACAGCACACACTGCCCCCTACACCTTTAAATTCACACACTGCACCCCCACACCTCTAACTTTCACACACTACACCCAACCCTCTTAACATCACACACTGCCCCCTAAACCTCTAAACTCACACACTACAATCACACACCTCTTAACAGCACACACTGCGCCCCCACACCTCTTAACATCACACACTGCACCCCATAACTTTTAACCCACACACTACACCCCAACTCCTTTTAACATCACACACTACACCCCACTCCTCTTAACATCATCCCACTACACTCCCACACATCTTAACATCACTTTACTGCACCCCCACACCTCTTAATATCACACAATGCACCCCCACAACCTTTTTTAATATCACACACACACCCCTACACATCTTAACATCACATACAGCACCCCCACACCTCTTAACATCACACTACAACCCCACCCCTCTTAATATCACACTCACTAACCCCTTAACTCTTAACTTCACACACTGCACTCCCCCAAACCTCTTAACATCTCACACTACACTCCCACACCTCTTACAGCACACACTACAC